GCATGATAGTGTAGAATAATCATATCCAAGGACCAGTGGTGGGTTTTAAAAAAATTTGGAACCTCTTCTGTAGGTGTGGCCTGCTTTCCGGGTCCACTGTGGAACCTCTTCTAACCGGTTCGGTAGATTTGACGAACCGGTTCTACTGAATAGTTGCGAACTGGTAGGAACCCACCTCTGTCGTGGTTGTCTCAAAGCTGCTTTTTCAAAAGGCAACTGGACTGTTGTTTCCTTGAGGAAGAAGAAGACACTTCTCATCCAAGGAGCATCCTCAGTTGTGACTGGATGGTGCAGGGATGGGAGGAGAGATAGATTCTGGCAGGATGGGTGTGTGCGGAAGGATTGCATTTCTTTGCAGTCTCTCTCCCTCTCTCTCTCTCTCTCTGAGAGCCATTGAGGGCACTTGGGGGATTGGATCACCTGAATCACTCTAACCCTCTCAACCAGGGGTGATTTCCGTCAGGCACTACTTCTGGTTTGCTCATGGGTGTGCCACTCATGCGCTTCATGTATGCTGTGTGCGCATGCACAGTGCAATAAAAACTGCTCTACGCATGCGCAAAAGTGAAAAACAAGATGGCACGTGGCAGGCCTGGGTCGCTGCTGTTTCCAGCAACCCAGATGCCAAACCACTACCAGTTCGGCTGAACTGGTCCAAACCGGTAGGAACCCACCACTGCTCTCAACATTGAATTTTAAAACCCCAAATTGCTTCAAGTGATGAGTGACAGCTTCAAATGCTTGGCCCTTTCCAGGATTGGGTGCCAGATTGGAGGAAGGGACACTTGGGGGGAGGGGGGAGGGTGAAGGAGTGGCACATTCATTACATCCCTTAAGCTACTGTTTCTCAACCTTGGCAATGTTAAGGTATGTGGACTTTAACTCCCAGAATTCCTCAGCCTTAACCCCACCCATTAAAAGCCAGAGGGCCTCTGGGTGGGAAGAATGGCTTTTGAGTCTCCTGGAATCAGGTTTCCTATTTGGGTCGGGGTGGAGGACTCTTCTGGGGGGAAACATGAAGTTAGGGAGCATGGCAAGCCACATCACTTGCATGGTGGAAGGCATGTTTTCTTATGTTTTCCTAGGTTTAGGAAAACTTTTTTTAATAGCAGTAGCATGTAGACTTACATGCTGCTTCACAGTGCTTTCCAGCCTCTCTAAGTGGTTTACAGAGCCAGCCTCTTGCCCCCAACAATCTGGGACCTCATTTGACCCAACTCTGAAGGAGGGAAGGCTGAGTCAACCTTGAGCCTGGTGGGATTCAATCTGCCAAATTGCAGGCAGCCGGCAGTCAGCAGAAGTAGCCTGCAGTAACTGCACTGTAACCACTGCCAGTCTCATCAGAGGGCTTTAGTTATTGTCTCTGGTCTCAAAAGTGATGAGAAGCAGCCCATTTCAGGCCTGGGGAACCTAGGGCAGTGATGGCACAGGATGGAAACCTGAAAGTTTGGGTGCCAGTGCGTGTATGTACACTAGAATGCTGCTCTTCTAGGTTTCAGTGGACTTGCACACACAAAGGTCAACCAGACAGGAACATGGAAGAGGAACTAGTGAGGCTGCGCATCCCATGTGGGATGGCTTTCTGTGCCACTTCTGGCACGCATGTCATATGTTTGCCCCCAGTGGCCTAGGGGTTTGAATTCACAGAGGACACTGGCTGAGGGCTGAAATCTGGTTGTGGCCACCAGAGGGCCCTCTTGGGCCGGGGGGGAGAGGTGAGCTAGAGTTTGCTTCCATGCTGCCCTTGCCCAGAGCACATGACGGGGCAGATGCCTCCAGGGGAGAAGAGAGCAAGGGGCTGGTTGGTGACCCCTTGGTAAACTCTGGTTCTTCATGGTGGGGGGTTGAGACCATCGTCTCCTGCTTGGGGGCAAGCTGCAGTATGGAGGAAGCCCTCCTCCCTCTCCATATAGCAGGTGGATGCTTTAGCTGGGTAGACGAGTCTCTTGGCGTTGTTTCTTTTTTCAAAGTGGCTCGAAGCTACACAACAATTTTAGGCAGTTGAGGGAGAAGGTGAGGCGGGAAGCAGCCCCAGGTCCTCTTCCCCTTCCCTTTCCCAGGGTTTTCTAGCTTTGCTTTGCTCCTGGGATCGAGGGCGGCTTCCCTGCTGCCTTCACAAGGGCACATCCTGGAGACACAGTGCGAGGCGGGGAAGAAAGGCTGCCAAGGGCAGGTCAGTTTACAGCCTCCCTCCCAGATCCCAGCAGGATCCGTAGGAGGCTACTTAGTGAGCAAGAAGCTTGATGAAAGCCAAGGAGGGCCTGGAAGGTAGTTTCCCCCAGACAGTTCCTGAGATTTCCCTTCCTGGAATCAGCCACCCGTCCATGGTTCTTGTGCTGGCTTGTTAATCCTGCCTTTTCCCCCCAAGAGCAGCAGCCGCCCTGAGGTTCAGCTCCTCGTTTCCTGCTCTCCGTTGCGATGGCCCCTCCGCCTCAGCCCAGCCTCTCCTTGCCAGCTGCCTTCCAGCCCCACCATGAAGAACCAGAGTTTACCAAGGGGTCACCAACCAGCCCCTTGCTCTCTTCTCCCCTGGAGGCATCTGCCCCGTCGTGTGCTCTGGGCAACAGCGGGCAAGGACTGGTCCTCAGACACCTGGGATTTGTGGCAAAATTCTGGCTCGACAGCAACTGCTAAGGCTGCATTCAGGAAAAGGGCAAAGCCTCCTCTGGGGTTTCACTCCATCTTTCTAGAGCATCCTCACGTTTCTTCCTGCTGACCATCCTGCACGTCCCTTTTCCTGGCAGGTGGCTGGGGAGTACAAGTACCACCCCGAGTGCTTTGCGTGCATGCGATGTAAAGTGATCATTGAAGATGGCGACAGCTACGCTTTGGTGCAGCACTCAGCTCTTTACTGGTAAGGAGAAGCGGCCATGCTCAGCCGTGGGTCTGGGTGACTCTCTGGGACAAGGAACGTCTTCTGCCCTGCGCTTGGCCCTCCCTCCTCTGCCCTGACACCAAGAAGGGAGAATGGCAGGAAAGGGTTGTGTGTCCACCCCCACCCCCCTTGCATTCACCAGAGGGGGGAGGCACCTGGAGAGTCCTCCACCCCTCTGGGTGGGCATTAGGGGCATGGAGAGCCACCAAGTAAGGAAAGGCTGCATGAGACAGTCCTGCTCTTCATGTCCCTGTGCCAGGATTGAAGAAGCCAAGCTGCCCCTTGGATCTGTAGCCTTGAAATCTTATGCTTTCCCTCTTCCTGGCCACCGTGGTCCTATGTGGGGTGATAACCCTCAGGGCAGGGAAGGAATGTTGGAAGCAATGCTGTCTGAATGTAGACCTTGTCTTTGTAACCAGCAGCACCATAGCAATGGGCTGCTTCCTAGCTGACAGCATGGAAAGCACACACGGCCTTTTCTGTCCTCTGGTCTAAACTAACAGCAGAATTCTGTTCTCCTTTTTCAGTGGTAAATGCCATAACCAGTTTGTGCTGACGCCAATGCTAGAAAGACTCTCGGCGGAGCCTCTCTGTGAGCAGCTGCCCTACACTTTGACCCTTCTCTCCATGCCTGCAGCTACCAACGGCGAAAGGGGGTTTGCTGTGGCTGTGGAAGGGGGCTGCTCCCCCTATGCTGCTACAGTGGAAGTGAAGGAGTGAGTAGGAAGCTCTGTTAACTGCATGGGGTTTTGCTCTGGTCGAGGTGTTGAGAGATCCAAATTCATAGTTGTGGGGCTTTGCATTTTCATTCCAGCTTCTGCCATGCCTGTGGCTCCTGTTACCTTGAGCGATGACCTTCATTGAGAAAGCAGCCCCTTTTGATCTCCTCAGTGGTACTAATGCCATTCACGGCCAAAGCCTTGGACCTTGGAAATCGGAGGCATTGTGCTGAAAGCATTCTGCCCGGGAATTCTTCCAAGAGGATCCCTCAAAAGGACTAAAATACTACACATTTCCAACAGGTCGCCATTGTTAACTGAGAAGGCGCCTGTGTCCTGTCTCACCTGCCTCTGCATAATCTTTGCCTCACCCCAGTTTCACTCTTACATCAGTCTGATACCAGCAGATGCAACGCAGTCTGGCATCCACCTTTGAGAAAAAAATTCTTAGTTGGAAGAAGTGATGCCACACTCCTCCTCACAAAAGACTTTCAAAGTAGTTTCAGGGAAAGGTAACAAAGATGATCAAGGGATTGCAAAACTGATCACAATTTATTTGCTGCCCATCTCACTGTGGGGCTACTCTGGGCTGCTTATAACAATTTAAGGCCAGAGGATGCACTTCGCCTCCCCCACCCCATCTGGGAGCATCTTTGCCCTTTTGGCTGCCTGGCACTTCCATCACTGCCCTCCCCCTGCCACCCCCTTTACTACCATCTTTCTCCAAGCTGCTCCAACTGCTGCCCCTCCCAGTAGCAGGAGGGCAGGAGGAAGATGATAACAAAAGTCAGCTGGGCGTGGCAGGGGTAGGTGGTGATGGAGTGTGGGGTGTCCCCAAAGATAGGGAGAGAGGTAGGGAAGTATCAGGGAGGAGGCTTGAAGCCTACCCTGCAGTCATAATAAATACAGTGGGCTGTGAAGCATCCAAATGTTGATCTTGTGTCTCTGAAGGCCCTGCAAGAGCTTTAACTGGGGACTGTTCCTAAACACCATTTTCCATCGCTATTGTAACTGTCACTGAAAAAGAGGTCATTAAGCAAGGACTACCTATGCTTGTTCCTAGGAGGAAATGGCTTCAGAGGTGGCTTGCATGGCTTTTTTCTCTCTCCCCATTGCTATGTGGCCCCTCATAGAGACTCACGGAGGAGGCAGATTCTTCTGATCTCAAGTCATGTTTTTGCTCTCGTGTGCAGAGTCAACCGAAGGCACATCAGCCCTGATGTCCAAAATGCCATCCACCCCGGGGACAAAATCTTGGAGATCAATGGAAACCCAGTCCGCACACTACAAACCGAAGAGGTATGTTCTGAACAGCCTTTCCTATTCCCTGCTGCCTCGTAACGGAGATGGCGCCTAAGGCCTCTTGGGGCAGGAGCTGGGTTTGGGACATCCCCCGCTATGTCCTCAGCCTCTCTAAGTAATTGTGAAAGGCCTTCTTTCCTCTGAAAAATTGAAGAGGTGCTGAGAGAGACGAGAAGAGCAGGCTGGCTGAAGGGCCTTGTGGGATTTGCCTGAGGCTTCAGAAGATTTCTTCCTTGAGATGGTGTTTTAAAACAACAATAGGATGTCTGTATTTTTTTGTCTTCCTGAGTGCCAGTCGAAAAACTTGCATACGCTATTTTGATTTTCATCTCAGATTTATATGACATAAATAGAGGAGCCCTGATCAGGAAAAGTGGCTTAAACAGCCAAGACATGCTTTTAATTAAACTCAGCCCAGCTGCTTCTTAAGAATGAGCAGCCAAAGAAATGCCTCCTTCATCCAACCTTCCCCATCCCAGGTTGATGGAGGAAGATTGTGGCTATGTTGTTTTGGAAGCCTTTTCCCCAGCACGGCCCAATTCCCTCTTTACTTCTCAGGTCAAAGAACTGATTCACAAGACGAATCAAACCCTTCAGCTGTTAATTGAACATGACCCAGTCTCTCAGCGCTTGGACCGGTTGCGCCTGGACTCCCGGCTGTCCGGGGGCAATAAGAAGCCCTCCACCCCTTGTATTTCTGCCTTGGAGCTCAAGAAGAACCTGGAAGGGAGCCTGCGGCGACGCTCCCTCAGGTAACATCCCCGGACTGCAGAATGGCCTGCTAATCTCCAGCTGCTAAGTGGAGCACAAGCAAGCGCTGCCCTCCATCCATAACCGTCCTTGGAGGTGGCCATAGGCAGGGAACTGACCCTGCCAGTTAGGCTGGAATGCAGCTTCAATGACCTGAGCTCTAGTAACAGATTCTCCAAAGACTGATTGGGTTTGCCCTTCCCTCCCTCCCTTCCCTCCTACAGCTCAGGGTGGACTCAGTCTGAGTTGCTTCCTGGTGTTCATTTCTCAGGCTTTAATCATGTTGCTGAACATGTTGGAACTGTCTCCACTGGGTAGTTTCCGCAAGGCTGTATGATACAGTATCTCTGGCTCTCTAGAGCAGGGGTCTCCAACCTTGGCCACTTTAAGACTTGTGGACTTCAACTCCCAGAGTTGATTGGTCATGAGGTATATAATCAATATCAATATTAAGAAAGGAAAAATGTGTAACAATTACTTTATTTGTACATCTGGTCATTTGTAAAAACAATTGGAGGTACAAGAAATTTAAAAATGCTGTTTGAATCCCAAATTTGACCTTTAAGGGATTCCTTATGAATTTAGTTATAATTGCGATATATCTTATATTATGTTATAAGATATAATATGTGATAAATCTACTGCTCGGAGATCCCAAGAAGCATCAAACTTAGGATCTCACTTATAGTAAACTTCAGAGATAATAGCCATAGTACCTAGACTTATATATCGCTCCACAGTGTTTTCCAGCCTTCTCTAAGCAGTTTACAAGGTCAGCATTTTACCCCCAACAATCTGGGCCCTCATTTTACCGACCTCAGAAGAATGGAAGGCTGAGTCAACCTTGAGCCTGTCGGGATCAAACTGCCAAATTGTAGTCAGCCGGCAGTCAGCAGAAGTAGCCTGCGGTACTGCACTCTAACCACAGTGTCACCGTGGCTCCTAACTAATTAGCACATAGAAAATAAAGGAAATAATAGATAATCAGCTACTAGAATTCCCCAGTCAGCATCTGAACCACTGCCATGAAGGTCAAATTTATTTGGGTAGAAATGACTTGAATGCCAGAGACCTGAGTCATAATGGGGGGAGGCCGAGTTACCTGAAGACCCAGCAGGAATAGTGGGGTACCTTAAGTGTTTGAATAAGACTAGAAAGCTTTCAGTCCATCTGCAAGCTCTGTGGGGGATTCTGGGCCCACTTAAAATCTTTCAACTCAACTTGCCCCACTCGGTTATTGTAAGAAATTTTGGAAGAAGGATGCTGTATAGCAGGAGATGAAATCCACAGACTCCCATAATTCCTCAGCCAACCGTGTTGAGTTCAAGTTCCCAACTTTTAAAGTAACCAAGGTTGGACCCCTTTGCTGGGTAGAGCAATTGGTTGTGCACAAAGTATACAGTTGTGTATTATCTCATACAGGACAGAATACCAAACAGAGTAACAGAATACTATTGGTTGGTGGTCACCTGCATTTCATAGCTCAAACCACTCAAACCCATGAATACTGCACCAGAGTCATACCTGACCATAACCCTGCCCTTTCACAGGTCCTAAGTGTCAGGCCCACACTTGCATGCAGAGCACCACACAGCCGGAAGCAGATTCTCACCAGCAACAAGAAACAACAAGAAGTTAACACGACCCTCCAATAAATCCAGGTCTCCATTTACACCACCAGCCCCATCCCAGAGCCCAGCAACCTTACAAATAAGACTAGATGCCCACAGGATCACCTACTCTTCTAATGCCACCTTTTGCTGGCAGTTCTCCTCTGGGTTCTGTGTAGGAGAAACAGGACAGCTATTTTGGAAATAGAAATTTGGCCAGAACAATTGACCAAAAGACAAGTTTCAATCTACGTTGGAAAGTCTTTCAACAAACATAATTATTTTTAAGACTTCACATCTGTTGACTGATACAGTTCTTGTAATCTGTCTCTGATGTAATCTGCCCAACCATTCTTCCCTCCACCTCATCCCAATTTAAACCCTACATCAACTGAGCCAGTCTATGCATACAATGAAGGGAGCGGCAGCTGGTGAAAGTTTATATGTTTTGTTAGTCTAAAAAGGTGCTACCAGATTGTCTGACTTTTGGCTACTACAGGCTAATGTGATTCTCTTCCTTTTAAGGAACAACAGAAAATCCTAAAGTAAATTGCCGTTAAGGAGGAAGAACCTTCCTAGTCTACTTTTTCTGGGCTGAAAGAGATATTTAGTATCAATTCATTAATTGGATTAATTGTGTGTTTATCTCTCTTTGTCATAATTTCCTCCTGGGCTAAATAAAGAAACAATTGATCTAATCCTCCTGTAGAGGCCAGTTTAAGGAAAGGATTAGGGCAAAATGACCCTTATTCAAAGGATTAAAAGGAGGGGGATCCTGGTCTGGCTCAAGAATGTCTATCCTGCTCCTGTATGGAGCCAGTTCTCCATGTTGTTTGTGAAGGTGCTCTTCTTGTCTGGAAGTCTGCTCCGAGCACTGAGGCTGCAGATGGTACCTGGAGTCCCCTCCTAAATGTGTGTTGTATTCCAGGCGAAGCAACAGCATCTCCAAGTCCCCTGGGCCCAGCTCCCCCAAGGAACCGCTCATCCTGAGCCGTGACATCAGCCGATCAGAATCCCTTCGCTCCTCCACCAGCGGTTCCCAGCAGATCTTCCGCCCCTGTGACTTGATCCACGGGGAGGTGTTGGGCAAAGGTTTCTTCGGCCAAGCAATCAAGGTAAGAGAGCCAGCCCCATTCCCCCCGCCCCCAGGCTTCACATGTGAATTTCATCCCCTTCCACCCACCCCTCAAATCCTCAAGAGCCTTGCAGGGGACCCTGGAGTTTGATGAATTATAGAATTCAATAGATAGAGAATTATACATGGAGAGCAGGAGTGGTAAGCTCAAGGCCCAGGGACAGATCTGGCGTGCAGGGTGCTTAGATCTGGCCCACGGGACCACCATGGAAACAGTGAACGACTGGCCCAGGGTGCCTCTGCCAGCAAAAATGGAGCTTGGGAGGGCTGTGGATGGCCATCACAGCCAAAAATGAAGCTTGGGGGCTCATTTTCACTGGCAAAGCACTTGGGCCACCACAGGCGCCCCAACACAAGTGACATCGAGTTGACCCCCCCCCCCCCGAGGTCAAACACAACCCTGATGCGGTGCTCAATGAAATCGAGTTTGGCATCCCTGATGTAGAGTTTGCCTGTTCCACCTGCTTCCTGTGGATC